CAACTGTGAAGATGGTGGAAGAATGTTTTACCAGCAGTGTGGAGCAATAGTTAGGGTGCTGGATTTGCAGCTGGAAGGATCGAGGCTCAAATCCAAGGTGAAATCTGTTTTTTATTGTACAGTCAAAGTACAATATGTCAGTCAAATCGCTCCTGTAGAACACGCAACTGTATAAATGGATATGCGGTAAATGAAAGTGATTCTGGACAAAAGAATTAGCCAAGTCAGTAAATAAATTAGAATCATTGTGGTGTAGTTAGAGGTCAACATTACTATTCAGTGAAACATCATCAAAGTCCTTGATTCAGGGTTTTTGTGTCGTAACTATGCACAATATCTAAGAATTTTAATTCTTTGTCTTTGCTGGCACAGAAACGTTCGAAGAATATCAAATTGAATTGTAATGTGATCAGATTGGTTGAGTGATGAAGTCTCAAAAGGGCCCAGTGGGCAAAGTGTACGTTAATCTACAAGTCTGACACATGCAGGTCGGGTAATGGTCTTCTGGGAAAACTGGCCCCGGTGTGAGTGCTTGTGCCCTGTGATGGACTGGTGTCCTGTCCAGGGTGTGTGAGAGTGTGTATCTGTGTGTGCCCTGTGATGAACTGGTGTCCTGTCCAGGGTGTAGCCTGTCTTGCGCCCGCTACTTGCAGGGATGTCTGAACAAATTGGAAATCTTCCCCTTCCACTCACACTATCCCAGGCTCAATGAACCATACACCACGTAACATCTCCTTTGGTGGCACCTCCCAACTCCCTGTGATATACCTTTCATGCCTTGGTCTTGGTCCTCTGAGGTCATGCTCCTCTCCCTCACTAATGTTTGACTTGCCCATGCCCCTTGCCCATGGAAGCTAGATATTGTCACGGACGTCCAAAGGGACTAACCGCGGGGAGCAGGAGACCGGAAAAAGACCCATATGCGTAGCGGCGAGACAGAAAAAGACCCGGGCTCATTAGTGCAAAGAGTTCAGGAATGCCGTATAGAAACCTATGCCCTCAGGGAGCGGACGTGGGGCGCCCTGGTGCTAGGCGGGTCTCAGGACATCCGAACGTCAATGCTGAGCGAGGGCAGAGTGCAAGACCTGGGAATATATAGCCCAAGGGAAAGAGAGGGACCGGAAGGCCAGCAGGCAGGAAACTAGGGACAGGACAGAGAAGGAGCGCCCTCTGGCTGCAGAGGGCGTGACAGATATTTTCTGCATACAAGGATTATTTAACACTCAAGAGTTTGATATCATAGTGTGTCAATGATACCAGGTTAATATATTTAATCCTCACTTGAGTACTTTCAGTAACCTCTTATCCCATTCAGGGTCATGGTGATTCAGAGGCTATCCCGGGAAACAGTGGGCACAAGGAGGGATACGCTCTGGACAGAACACCAGTCCATGGCAGTGTACACACAGACACAGACATACACACACCCACCAGGGCCATTTTGTTACAGAAGCTAGCACGACTTCGGACTACGGGAGGAAACAGGAGCACTTGGAGAAAACCTGTTTGTGTATTATTTGAATTACTTTCTTGTTGAATCTACGTGACAGATGAAAGGTAATGGATTTCTTGAACACAGTATTCGAAACACAGAAGGTCACACGAAATACCATTTTCAGGGGATTGGGTGATTCTTAATGTGAACAAACAGGTTTTTAAAAAAAAAAGTTTACCTCTTGGGGTTCATTGCACAGTTTGAAAAACCTTTGAAAACCCCACCCATTCCATTAGTCCAAATCTGTTAGAAATGTAAAAGGCCTCCATTTGGCTTTTCACATGTAAAATTACTAAGTGGTGATGCAACTATACATACTGTACATGCCTGCTATGGTTACACAGGCTTGTCATGAAAAAGGGTTTTCCATTTTGAGAAAGGGCTCTATCATTAAAAAGTGAGATATAACGTGTTTCTCAATAACATTAATAAAGTTCAAACAAAAAAATCTTTTTTTACTTCTGACATCATTATACTTTGCTAGGTAAATTGTTGGTATGAAAATCTATTCAGAATTGAATGCATTTAGAAATGTTTTCTTAAAAATATGTTCTTGTTTATACAGTATTACTGTACTGGTTTGATGGGTTTACTGAGACAATTATTAATTGTAGCAGTAATCACGAGGTTGTTCGTTGGGGCTTTTAGAAAATCAA